AAATTCGTATGCACGAATGCTTGGGGAGGTAGGTACTAGAGAAAAATTTGGATCTAGAAGACGCCTACGAAAATTTGCAATTAGGAAGTACCTAAACACAAGTACAGTATATCCGCGTTTTCCTTAAGGCATAAGTTAAAGTATCCATGTAAATATCGGGAAAAAAATCTGCAGGAAAGTTACAAACTCATATAGTCCTTAAATAGGGACGTACGCAGAAATGCATTCCAAGCCATTTCGTCCCTTCCCTAATAGGTATATATTTTAGATCGGTATAAAATGAAAATACAATTTATAAACACACATATTTTCTCTAAACCTGGATTCAGTTTAACAAGTAAAAACGACATAAAGTTAAGCCAGGTCGTGCTTTTAATACCCTCCGACATGTGAACACTCGGCAGGTGGAAAAATCTAAAAATAGGCGATCCCTTAAATCCATGGAATTTGAAGGTTCTATTTTATTTGTATTACCTATTCTTCAAAATACTGAAAATCAGTTTTGCATTTTTTTTTGGGAGGAGCTACTGAAAACCCGAATTGTGAAATTACTGCTGGTTTCGTTGGAAATGGATGCATTCAATATTCCGAAAATCAACAGGTTTCGAAAGATGGGGCCACATAAAAAAGTTGACCGTCATCGATTTTATAATTATTCGCAAAGAAGCCGAAATGTAAAACTAAAGCTGATTTGGTCGGAAATTCTGGTCGAAACCTTCAAAATTCTGAACATGGGGATTCTACTGAAGCGTGGTATACAGGTTCACGACAATGCAAGAATTGTTTTTGCTCTCTGGAAACACAAACAGCCAAATAAGGATATTCGGTTGTGAAAATTCAAAAATACCTAAAATACGGAGATATAGAGGGACTATACAAGATCGTGGACACCCGCTTGCAAATCATTGAATATTATTATCAAACTGTGTGCTCTATTCTATGTTCAGTGACGACGTTCAGTTTTTGGCTGAATGGTTTACATAAATAAGCAGAATTGTCGAGTTTAGAGCGAAGATCAGGCAGAAGCATTGCGAATGATAGCTATGCATCCAGAAAAATATACAATTTGGTGTAGTGATGTTGAAAATTGTAACGTAATACAAGAGCTTGACTTACACGACATGCGGCTACCACAAGACGGTGCCCCCATGTAACAATGGACTTAAACCGGCGAGTTCTGTGAAGAAATTATTCCACATTCGGGCCAATTTAATCCTGCTATTTAATGCCTTTACGCTTTTTTGGCTAGGTTAAAGCCCACGCATTCCAAGATACCGGCCCAAAAGTTGGAAAGATTACGCCAAAATTGGACCAAGCGTATGCAGCACTTGAGGGGCAGTCGCCGTTAAAATTCGTATGAAATAATCTTTAGATATTAAATTTAATCCTGAAACCCTAGGATTTTTCTGTTTTTATTTTTTTAATGTTTAAAGTTTAGATAGAATCGAATGATTATTTCACATTTAACCTTTTTCGTTATTAACAATTTTGTCAACTTTGTGGATGAAGTAACAGAAGTAGCGGGCAGATATATTCCAACTTCACACCAGATTTTGGAGTGTATGAATCGGACGCTTATTAGGCATTTTATGAGAGTTACATTTTTGAAAGAGTCGAAATTGTCCATTTTCGCACCGACCTCCTACCACACCTAAAAATATTTGGATTTGTTACGTTTAAATAAATAAGGATATTACTTTCCTGTTCAATGAGGTAAATTATTTTCAGTGAAAATTTTGTCATTTTGTAGGGGGAGGTACCAGAAGGAGTCGACTGATCTAACATTACGATGTACAAAGTTTTAACGAAATCGGATATTCCCCATAAGAGTTCTTGTACGCACCAGCCGGACAGATGGACTGACATCCTTTGGTCAACTTCAAATGTCCTGAAATGGATTTGGTCGAAAGAGACCTATGGTGAAAAACTGTTATTTTGATGAGACAGATTTTGTCCATATACCCCCTGAAATTTATAAATATGCACTAAAAATGTTAAAAATTGTGAAAATCAAAAGAATCCGGGACTAAAATTAAAATGAGAACCTATATAGCTCATTTTCAATACCAGACATACTCGTATTGCAACAAACGCCTGTGTCAACATTTCATTTATTCATTTATCTCGCATTTTGTGAACTGTATCATGATTTCAACAGTCCATCTGTTACCCCTTAACCGATTTTTTACACTCCGAGAAATATTTCGAACAATATTTCAGGAAGTAGGCAGAGTGGGTCCAGTGGGGATACGGTACCATTGAAATGATCATTTTGTGTATATTTTAAATGGGCAGACAAGTAAAAACGCAGCTAATTTCGGCGGGCCGAATTTTTAATACCCTCCACCATTTTGAAAGAACTTGACAAATTTCCAATAAATTTTGTCGAAAAATGTCGCTCAAAGGAAAACATTTAAATGGGGGCTATACGAAGACGTGTTCCTGCATAAGCAATTTTTTGTCATAGACTTTAGTGCCCAGTATTAACTTTAATACGAAATTAAAAACAATTCCGGTGAATAATGTCGCTAATATCAAAATAGCGAATAAAAGGAGGTGCCGTTATATGTGGGCTATATGAAGACCTGGACCTACATAGACCATTTTCCGTCATAGGTTCTTGTACCCATTAAAATCTTCAGATACGGAATTTGAAACAATTCCTGTAAATAATGTCGCCAAAAGCATCAAAATAACAAATATTGGCAGGTACCGCTATATGGGGGCTAAAATCATCAAAATACCGAATATTGGGCGTACCGTTGTATGGGAGCTGAACGATATCAGACAATTCCTGCAAAAAAAGTGGCTACAGTCATCAAAATACCGAATATCTGGAGGTACTGTTATATGGGGCTATACGATATCGTGGACCGATGTAGCAAATCTTCGAACTTGACCTGCCTGCAGACAAAAGAATGATATGTGCAAAATTTTAGCTTAACATCTTAATTCGTTGTTGCTAATATAATCAAAATATTGGATAAAGGGCTATATCTGAGTTATATCAAGACCTGGATCTACGTCGACAATTTACCGTCATAGGTTGTTGTACCCATTTAGATCTTCAAATACGAAATTTGAAACAATTCCGGTAAATAATGTCGCACAAATCATCAAAATGCCGAATATTGGAGATATCGTTATATGGGGGCTATACGATATTTTGGACCTATTTAGACAATTCTCTTTTAGGGGGTAAAGTACTCAGAAGGAACTACTTGCGTGGACTTTCAGACAATTCCACTGAATAATTTGGCTATAGTAATCAAAATACCGAATATAAGGGGGTGTACCGTTATATGGGGCCTATACGATATCATGGACCTATGTAGCAAATCTTCGAACTTGACAAAAGACTGATCTGTGCTAATTTTTAGCTTCCTATCTTAAATCGTTGTCGCTAATACTATCTAAATACGGGATAAAGGAAGGTACCGTTGTGTGTTGGCTATATGTAGACCTGGACCAACATAGACAATTCTCCGTCATAGGTTGTTGTACCCACTACGAACTTTAAATACAAAATTTAACGTAATTCTGATAAAATAAAATGTCGCCAAAAAAACTCAAAATACCGAATATTGGGAGATATCGTCATATGGGGGCTATGCGTTATCTTGGACCAAAATAGACAATTCTCTTCCAAGTGGCAAAGTACTCAGAAGGAACTTCTTGTGTGGATTTTCAGACAATTCCACTGAAAATTTTGGCTACAGTCATTAAAATACCGTTATATGGGGCTATACGATATCGTGGACCGATATAGCCCATCTTCGAACTTGACCTGTCTGCTGGCAAAAAAGACTGATCTGTGCAAAAGCTTAGCTTTCTATCTTAATTCGTTTTGATTCTAGCGTTATTACAACATGCGGATCGGCGGGCGGAAGGGAATAAATCGTAGAATTTTACGCTGAACTATTATTTCGATGAGTTACAAACGGAATGACGAACCTAATATTATACCCTCCATACTATGTATGGTAAGGGGTATGAAAATAGGATTTGCATTAATTCAATGCATGTGGGCTGTGATACAATCCGACAAGTATTGTTCTGGTAGAAGTCATATAGCAACTCTCCGGAGCCTTGAAACCTGGTGTCACCGATGTCGCAGCTTCTTTGGGGGATGTTAGAAACACATGTCATGCAAACCATCTTAAAATACAATTTTATTTTAAAATATTCACTCGCTTTGTTTCCATCACTGTTTTTTTTTTTTAGTAGTTGTTGCTTTCTCTCATCTTTGCTTTGGTATCCTGTTGTTTTTCTACACACGTTTTCATTTTATTTTGTTTCATTCGTTCGCTTTACATTTACACAATTCGATTCTCATTTTTAGCAACATAAAATATGAAAAACGCGAAAAACAACACAATATTCATCCATCAATGACAAGCAGAAGAGGATGCCTGCCTGCTTGCCTCCTGCCTGTCGACGACGTCTGTTTTGCTGCATTGCTAGGCTGTTGTCAAAAACTGAAAAACGCGTCGCAGCCGCGTTAGGCAGACAGGGCATGTATTCTTTTATTCTTTGTTTCGTGTTGTCGTCTGTGTCATTCATTCTTCTTTCTTTTGGGCCGGATGAATTAAGAGAATGGCAGATATTCTATTTTTATATATTTTTTCACAAATTTTAGCTTTAGAATTTCCCCCAATAACAACGCGATGTGTGGCTTTTTGTGTGTGCGTCTGTCTGGTGGCAAGAGCAAAATTAAATCTTAAAACGCAGACAAACAGAGGAAAACGAAAACGGGGATGGCAAAAACATGTGTACGAGGAGCTTCAATTCATTCTATGACTCTTTTTTTTTTGTTTGTTTCCAAATGGGAAACATGCTGGCTGAACTGGTCTGGTACAGCAGCATCCATCCAGTCTGCCAGCCAACCACCCAGCATAATTTTTTTTTGTTTTTCTTGTTTCGAATCATTTCTTCACATTTTGGGATGTCATCTCTCATGTATTTTTTGTTACATTCCCTTTTAATCACAATTTTCTTACATTTTTGCTTTATTTTTTTTTTTCTTTGTAGCAAATTGAGATTTGTTTCGCTTCACCAATTTATTTTACAAAATTTTAACACTGGAATTTATTTTAGGTTTCAGACGCCTATTTTCAGAGATTATGAGATTGTATGCCGGTTTTGCTTTGGTTTCAGCTAATGGAGGATACTTTTTTGCTTTGGAAGATTTGACGCTATAGATTTTAATCGCAATTTTTGTGCTTTGTTGACAAGACGGCTGTTTTATTTATTATTTTCTTCTTTTTTTTTCAGATATTCAGACTGACTGACAGACAGAGGCGACACTCACTTGAAATTTCACACAAAGGCGAACATTTGATTTCGATTTTATTTGTTGTTATTAATTTGTTTGTCGTTTTGTTGTTATTACTTTTTTCCGTTTCAGAATTTTATTGGAAATTTTTCATGCTTCGCGGCTATAGCTGATGATTTTGAGGTGATGGTGCTTTTGTTGTTAAAATAATTTTAAACACATTGGCTTTTGTGCGTTTTTATGTTTTTTCCTTTTTTTTGACAGCTTTCACAAAGATTTCCTAAATATTATTATTTTATCCGACTACAATTCAATTTCCGTTTATTTTTATTATGAATTTTTAATTTTTTTATTCTCTATTCACTCCGCCGCGGCACGACGTGTTTCAACTTGTGCGTCAAAAATACAAATACAAACAAATCAAGTCCATCACAAAGAGAAGAGATGGATTTCGTGAGTAATTTGTTTTGGCTCTGCTGCTGCTGCTGCTGCCGTTGAACGGCATTCATTTGAATTGAGTGTGGATTGTGTTGGTCGGCTTCTGTGAGAACACCATGGGGGAGAGTGGTTGAGAGCGAGCAAGAAATTGTCTCTTTCTCTCAGTGACTGGCGTCCACAAAATCCACAACATACAACAGTTGTATAAAAATGTAACCAATAATTTGACAGTGTTGCCAGTTTGGTGTGTGGCCAACTTTTAATTTAAAACATTGTTGTTTTTGTTCCTTCAAAAATACCATGGAATTGTTGGATTTCCCCAGAAAAGTTAATTTAATAATTAGGTGGGTAAATTGTAATCGCATGAGCCATGCAGACGGCTGCAACGAGTAGGAATAACTCATTCATACTTGGTGTCTTACATGATTTTTGTTGATGCAAATCGTTTGGTTTGATCTTCAAGGGAAGATCGCATGAACGTCTGTTTTGTTCAGAACAAACGTTGGTCGAACACGTGAATTGAATTGAGAAATCACAACTGTGATTTTTATACCCCTCAGCCATATGTCTAGAGAGGATACATATTATTTGGGAACAACTATAGTTTAGTAAAAACTCTTCGTTTTTTCGAATTTTTTTCCAGAGATAGGTATTTTTACCCTGATGCCGGAAAACAATTTTTTCCGGGACCCCAGATTTTTGACCCGAATGTTCGGGTTCAAGATCCGGGCGAGACCAGGATTAACTTACCCGCATGCAATATAGATATCGTTTGAAAGCTTTTGACAATGCCTATCCGCTAGTTTAGTAAAAACTCTTCGTTTTTTTCGATTTTTTTTCAGAGATAGGTATTTTTACCCTAATTCCGGGACCCCAGATTTTTGACCCGCATGTTCTGGTTCAAGACCCGGGCCCAAACGTGCCTCATCCAAATTACGGTTTTACACCTTAGGTCTCTTTGGACCAAATTTGTTTCAGGACATTTGAAGATGATCTAGCGATGTCCGTCTGTCTGGTGCGCACGATAACCCTCGAAGGGAGTATCCGATTTAGTACAAACTTGGTACATCGTAATATTATTATCAATCTTAGATCCAGTTCGGAGATGGGTAATGACAGTTTTCAAAAAAAAAATATTTTACTGCACCGATACAGAAATTATAACCCGATTTTTGTCTAACTTTGCAAAGCCTAATATTTGCATCAGTGCTAAGTCAGGTGCGAGATTGAACAATATCGGTCCACACTATCAAGTACCTCCCCCACAAAGGGGAAAAATTTTGAATATACCTGAAGCTCATATAACGCGAAATTAACATCCGATTCCATTAAGGCTAGGAACATTTCAATATTTCCATCAACACTTGATCTGTAATAAAGATGGTACATATCGGACCATTCCTTCTGGTACCTCCCCCACAAAAGATTAAAGTTTTGAATAACCAAAGCGATCATAAAATCGCTCGTACCAATATGTCTACTTACACAAGATCTGCTGTGAAGATGGGATATATCATATATATCACTCCTCCTGCTACCTCCCCCACAAGGGGTCAACATTTTGAATATCCACGAAGCTCATAATAATTATAATTAACATCTGATGCCATTCAGACGTATATATCTCAATATTTCCATCAACAAAGATCTGTTATAAATATGGTAGAGATCGGACCATTCCTTCCGGTACCTCCCCTACATAGGGTTCAAGATTTTGAAATGCAAAACGGTCAAAGAAAGCGAAATAAGTATCCAACTCCTTCTCTCTTTCTATTTCATGCATACAAACATTTTTGCTAACACAAGATCTGTTGTGAAGATGACATATATCTGCGAACTCCTTCTGATACCTCACGCACAAAGGATCAGCATTTTCAAAACAACCTGCTTTATCTAAATATATCTCTAAACCAGAACCTGAAACCTGTTTTTTGCTTAAAACTGGATATATATGTTCGATTTTCTTGTAATTTTGTCGATACAAATAATTTTATCTGTATTATACTTCTGTCGAATATATCTGGTACCTCATGCACATTTTAACATTTTCAAACCTGGCACGTCACAATATTTATATCATATTTATTTAGGTCCGATACGGTCCGTTACGATAATGGCAATATTGGCCCATTCCTACTGAAGGTGTACATCTGTCGGCAAAACCGACTGAGACTTTTTAACTTGTTTACTTAAAAAAATGTCCCTTAAGTACTACTGAAACTAATCTAACTTAGCCAAATCGTAGCCACAGGACTGCTTGCCCTTTCATCTATATCTGTGTGTGGGTCATAACCTTTATTGTATGACATTGTATCGGAATAAGAAATTATTTGTTTTCTGAAAAGCAAAAAAAAATCGATACTAATAGTTAAAAAAATAATTAACCCTAAAATTATATTTTATTTAGTAATTTTTTTAATTGCTTGACCATTTTTTGTTCATTGCCGTACATGAATAAAAAAACTTACCATTCCATTCCTCTCTCTTTTTATCTCTCTTTGATAAATGTGACTGGACTTACCTAAGAAATAGAAAAGTTAAATATATATTATTAATGCATAAAAATAAATAATATATATTTTATAAAAATGATTTGAGTCATACCATATAATGGAATGTATATCAACTTAAAAATTATTAAAATTTATAGACTTAAGTTAGGTTGAAATTGAACTTCCCAGTATTTCTCAGTTCCCTCCTCCCTGAGGCTGTGAACTTAAAATATAACCCTAGGATACAGTATTTTTTTTAAACATGACATAAATAGCAGAAAGCCTCATATTTGTATTTGAAGTACAACAATTTTTTACGGATGATTTGTTCGTATTTAAATTTTGCCCAATGGCGCAGAAACCCAGAATGGCCAAAATAACTGGAACAACACAAACAAGACAAAGGCTAAGGCTAAGAAGTTCGTGGGTGTTACAAGGATTATGTTTTGTTGTGTATTTAGCTATGGAGATGGTACGGCAAAGACTTTTTTCCACGTAACCGAGGGAAAGAAAGAGAGAATAGATAGATGTGATTACAATATGTTTGTATCTATACAGGGTGTGCAGAAATGAATGGTGTAATCCGAAAACGATGAAAAATATCACAATTAGGAAAACAAATTATGAATGTTATAGCAATATTTAATTAATACAAGACAAGTGGTTTCCACTTGGCATATGCGGTCACGTGTGTAAAGGAATAAATAAAAGTGATTTTTATACCCTCCACCATAGTATGGAGGGTTGTCTTTCCGTTTGTAACACCTTGAATTATACATTTTAGACCTCACAAAGTACAGGGTTGCCCATTCCAATCGACGAGGCTTGTCCGCAGGCAACATTTTTTGCGTCAATTGAATTGTGTACGGGAACAAATGCAAATCAATGCGAAAAATCCGTTGTAAAGTGGACCGAGCCATGCCCAACTGCTGAGAACAGCGTTTTTGGGATGTTCTTGGGGCTCGTACGGCAGCGATATTCTCGGCCGATCGCCTTGGTCGACGTTTATACGGCCTCTTCGGATTAGAAAGAGCCTTACCAGACGAAAATTTTTCGTATAAACGCTTAATGGTGTTCTTAGAAGGCGCACTTCTCACATTTTTTAATGTTTTAAAAGCACATTGAGTTTTCACAATTTTCAACTATTTCAGAGCGCTCGCGTGGCGGGTATTGGTTCATGGTAAAAATCTGGTTGGACTGACGCTTCAAACGCGGTATGTCATTAAGCGATGTGACATCTCTGTCAAAAGTTATGGCGTTGCCAGATGGGTCCGTCGAATATGGGCAACCCTATATATATGTTTTTGATCAGCATACAATTCTATATCGGCCATCTGTCCGTCTGTGGAAATCACTCTAGCTTGTGAACGTAGTGCAGTACGTTTTGGTATAGCCCCCATATAATTGTACCTTCCTATTTTCGGTGTTTTGATGATTTTAGCGACATTATTCATCGGAAATGTTTCAAATTTGGTATTTGAAGTTCGTAATGAAAACTACAGTCTATGACATAAAATTGTCTGTGCAGGTTCACGTCTTCGTACAGCCCTCTTATACCTCCCAAATACGTGTCATCGGTCCCATAGTGCAATGTATGTATGAAGATTTGATAAAAAGTGATGAGTACTAAAAGTGATGAGTACCAACAAGTAAAAAGGCTGTAAGTTCAGCCGGGTCGAACTTTGAATACCCTCCACCATTTAAAAATTAAAATTTGCCAAAAATTCTTTCAATATTTGAAAAATACCGAATATCCGTTATATTAGGGCCTGTACGATGTGCACCTACATAGGCAATGAAATAACGGTGAATAATGTAGCCAACATACCGCACATAGGGAGGGAGGTACCGTTATATAGGAGCTATACGCAGACCTGGACCTGCATAGACAATTTTCTGCCTTAAGCTGTAGTATCTATTTCGAACTTCAAATACCAAATTTGAAACAATTTCGGAGAATAGTGTCGCTAAAATCATCAATATACCGAATATCGGGGGATACCGTTAGGGAACTATACGAAGACGAGGACCTGCACAGACAATTTTCTGCTTTAGGATGTAGTATTCATTACGAAATTCAAATACCAAATTTGAAATAGTTCCTGTAAATAATATCTCTAAAATCATCAAAATACCGAATATCGGGGGTACCATTATTTGGGGCTATACGAAGACGTGGACCTGCACAGACAATTTTCTGCCTTAGGATGTAGTATTTATTACCAAATTCAAATACCAAATTTGAAATAGTTCCTGTAAATAATATCTCTAAAATCATCAAAATACCGAATATCGGGGGATACCGTTATATGGGGGCTATACGAAGATGTGGACCTACATATCCCATGTTCAATACCAAAAGTCCTGCAGACATAATACACTTTTGAGTAAAATTTTATCAACCTGCTTAAATTCGTTCGGAAGCTAGAGTGATTTCCACAGACGGACGGACATCGCTAAATCGACATAGAATTTTATGCTGATCAAGAATATATATACTTTATGGGGTCTAAAATGTATATTTCGAGGTCTTACAAACGGAATGACAAACTTAATATACCCTTGCTCAACGATCTCTAGTTATATAAAAAAGTAATGTATATATATATATATATATATATATAT